CGTTTTAATCACTCTTGTAAATCCAACCCTTACCACTCTATGCCATTCAAAGCTGATGATGTGGACAATAATTGCCAACATGGAAGCTGAGAGATCCTAATCATCAGGTGTAATCCTACAAGTGTTAAACCACACTGGACTGGCACGTTTGCATGAGACGAGTCCCTTTGTATGTGATTATATTGTTGTTTTCCCCCAACACCACAGTATAAACTGCAAACCTCTAGTGAGCCCTTCAGCTTGACCACAGAAAATGGTCATATTACATACAATTTTAACTACGGCCAGTCTTACTATAGTGGATAACTCTAAATGCTTTGTATGTTTTCTGTTGCACGGAATGAGGCTGGAGCCGAGCTGGAGTGATTTCCTCCTGCAGTGTCTGTCCAATCAGGCCGAATGGGTGTTTTGCAGGATTTTGTGGTGGAGAAATTCGCTTCTGCGTGGGACAGTGATTTAGCGTGGCTTTTTCACTCATTCCCTCTGGCATTGAAAGATGTCATCACGAGTTTTCTTTAAGCACCAGAACAGCAGCTATAGCACGGAAAGTCAGACGTTGTAGCGTTAGACCTGGAGTGTTGTGTTTGTCTTATATGGCTTGGCGTGTCTTGTGGGTTGCTTTAGATTCTTAAACTGCCTTGTTACTAAAACATGTATGGGCCATATGAAAATGTGTTTTATTTTTCGCAGTTTACTTGTTTTCCTTTTCAATTTTTCAATTTTAATAAATGTTAATTATCAAAAAGCATATCTTCTCAACTGAATTCATAAAACCTTTCAATGTATATTTTTTTTAACTATGAAAAATTATGGTGACCAGTAATGTAGAAATTCTGTGTGTTCTGTTTAAATTTTTCTGGAGTCTGTGTTTTATCATTTAATACAAATTTATTATCAAAAACAATTTAATTAATATTTTAAAATGTAATCAAATGAAAATTGAACAATTACTTTAATTTTTTGGCAAACAAAGTGCTGCATAAAAGTCACATATGTAACCTTCGTTCCCTGAAGGAGGGAACGGAGACGTTACGTTAACACTGACGTTAGGGGTCTCACTTGGGAGTCCCAATCACCTCCGAGTAGTAAAAAAACAGGCCAATGAACATTGCAGAGTGAAATTTGCTTGCCCAACCACTCCCCAGTACACACGTTTCAGGTTCCACTCATTCAGGTTTGTGCTGAGGAGCCAAAACCATGTCCCGGCCATTCAGCGGTGTAGTTCAAGGTTGTGGCAGGAGGGACATAAAGTCTCCTTTCCCTCCTTCAGGGAACGAGGGTTACATACGTAACCGAGACGTTCCCTTTCAGTCAGTCATGTTCGACGACACTGACGTTAGGGGTCCCTATGGAAAACGCCACAACCACTGAACTGTGTTACGAGGGTTGGTGATGCAGATGTAGGTAAGCTCTCATCTACCAAGTAACAACTGGCATCCCAAATCGCAACCTACCCAGTGCCCCATCTTCAGCCGAATAGTCTTTCTTACTGAAATGGGACTGAAAAGACTCACAGCGAGGAGGGTCGCAGCTGCTGCTCCTTTACCCAGAGTAAAGACTGCTTCAGCTCTCTCAATTCCAGCCGTGACCAGTTGCATTACACTGGGGAAGCGTGCCTAAGTCAGTGCGGAGAAGGATGCTATGAAGACCACATCCTGCCCGAAGGGAGGTAACATGTAGAGAGTACTCATGGGCTGACAGCAGGGCAGTACTACATATGACATAAGTCACTGCGGTAGATCCTGACAGAAAATGGGAGGAGCTACTACCAGATCAGAGATTAGGCAGAAGTAATTCTATCAAGGGAAGACACAGGTTTACCAACAGGAAAACTGTACTGTGGAAGAATACATACATGGGATTACCAGAAGCGAATCACTATGTGACGAGTGGGGCAGGGCCGAGAGCCGTGGGAGCGGAGCGAGGCCAGTGGAGTTAATGATAATGAGCGACACGTGCACCACTCACCGGTCTCGAGTCCCATGGAGGAGCTCCGGAAGGATAAAAGGAGGGGTGACGACAGTGTTGGACGAGAGAGGACCAGGCCTGGATTTTATGGTGTTGTTTTATGCGGCAGTCTTCCGTGAGGGGCTGCCGCTTTTACTTTAGTTTTGTTTGTTTGTTTATTTATTTGTTAAAGTTTTATATTTAAATGTTCACCGGTTCCTGCCTCCTTCTTCCCGATCTACGAACTTTGTTACACACTATATGTGGGGCACAAAGCTCAATACAGGGGCTGACTGAAGGGGAAAGCAAACAGAAGAACTGAGCATGGCATTAGCCTCCTCCGCCGAGCCTGACAGCCGAAGGGTGCTGGAGGATGCTCAGTCCAGGGTTCGTCAGGAGAGGAACACGGATGTAGAGATGCATGGCACTCACACTCCCTGTTGGACCAGTGGCGGAACAGAATGAAACGGAAGACTCTCCCCCCGGCCCTCCTCCAGTGGGGAGGAGCAGTGTATTCACCACTTCCTGGGCAAGAGCAGTCCCCTCTATCTCTGGGTCATCTGAGTCAGGGCCGCTTCTCTGTCCACTTGGAGGGCTTAGCAGCTGCCTGGGGCACGGACTGCGTCGCTTTCCTGTGGGTGGCACAAAGTTGCAGGTGACGCCATGCTGGAGCAGATGTAGAAACGAAGGGAGATGCTTTCGGCGGCGAACAGACTGGGGGCCAGCCCTAGGCAGCCTGGTGGCGGTGGTCACATGACGGGGCAGGATGCGTTTGATGGCTTCCGACTGTTTTCGATCTGTCTGAGAGCTATGACAGTGTCGCCGAAAAGGCCAGCTTGGGTGTTGGGGACGTCAAGAAAGCGCACTTTGTCGGTGTTGCACATCTCCGCAAGGTTCAGCCAGAGATGGCTCTCCTGGACCACCAAAGTGAACATTGCCTGGCCGAGGGCCCACGCAATGACCTTATTCACCCAGAGGCAAAGTGGCTCACCGTGTGCGGTTCCTCATAACTACCCCTGTGCAATACAGTGCTTTGGCCTGATATATTTGCAGGATGGCCATCGCATGCAGGGTGGAGGCAGCCTGTCCAATGGCAAGTAAGTCTGAGCAGTGAAAGCTGACATCAGCTCACTGGCCCAGGACAGGAAGCATGCATGAGGCATGTAAGCACTGCAATCGCACTCTCCGTCTGGGGAATCTCTGTGCACTCCCAGATGGCCCCAAAATCAAGGGTAGTGAGTGTGGAGGAGGTTGCGTGATTGTACGTGACACGAAAGAGGAGTGGGAGGTCCGTGGGGACTTACCAGGCAAAAAGCTCACGCTATAATCCTCTGATCTCCCAGAGCGTTAGTCAGTGTGAGGCTGAGTAGTGGCAGAGGGGACTCAAGCATTCACGAAGATAGAGAGTTGTGATCGCAGTGTCACCATGGTTATGCTCTTGCAGCGAGGGCATAAACCATCCACAAAAACTGTCTCAGCATGCTTATGAGACACGTGAGACAGCGACTGTGGCCATCAGAAGAGGCCAAAAAAATGACCACATCCAGAAACGCACAGACAGAGAGGCATCTTTAAAAAGATGCTCACTGCCGTATTGCTCTTTTAGGGTAAACTGCTCTTTTTCTGAAGCACCCAGGGGGGAATCGCTGCACTCATCTGTGCCAAAAACTGGCGGAACACAGCTGAATGCGCCGTCAGAATCTCCAGCAGCAAGAGAGATTTTGCTTCTCTTCTACTCTTTTAGAGATGAATGGGAGAGTGATCGCTCAAACACGAACAACCACTCAGCTCCGAAGCAAAAATCTGAATGAGTGAATGCATGCCGCCCTCTTGTATACACGTGTATGGGGGAGTGGCTGGACTGGGCATCAAACATAGGCGAAACACCACTGAATGTGCCGTCAGAATCACCAGCAGCAAGAGAGATTTTGCTTCTCTTCTACTCTTTTAGAGATGAATGGGAGAGTGATTGCTCAAACACGAGCAATCACTCGGCTCCGAAGCAAAAATCTGAATGAGTAAATGCATGCCACCCTCTTATATACCCGTGTACGGGGGTGTGGCTGGGTATGCAAATTCCGTTCACTAATGTTCATTGGCCTGTTTTTACTACTCAGTGGTGATTGGGACTTCCAAGTGAGACCCCTAACGTCAGTGTCGACGTAATGTCAAACGAATATTGAATTTTATAGGGCTTATTATTCCAATCATTGGTATCTTCCTGTCTAAGTGGGCGGTTCTTGGGTGGAAAACGTTATAAAATGGACCAGACATTGTGCCATTAGTCAGAAGTCTTTCTGTGGGACACTAAACAGAGGTTTAATTCATGTTGGCATGAAGGTTGGGGAAGTGGATTAGTTCAGGGGAATTTGGGGGGGGGGTTTGCAGCACAATGAGACAGATGTTTATGGTGCGGAAGTCAATGACAGAATGAGCAAGTGCTGGAATAATATAAATTTTGTCTGAAATTATTTAACCATGAAGCACTGTATGCAGTTTTCTGCTAGCCCTACTTGAACCCAACATTATTCATGTGAGATATGACTTGCTACATAAATCAATGTATATATGAATGATCATATCTTGATGAAGCTTTATGATGAATATAATAACTTTTTTTCAGAAAATGTAAATTTTGATTGCCTATGCAGAACTGACTTACTACTGTGAGGTATTTTGAGTATTTGTTTTTTTTTGGTACACTACCATTCAAAAGTTTGAAAAAAAGTTGAAAAGAAGTCTAATATGCTCACCAAATACAGTAAAAATAGTAATAATGTGAGATATTATTAGTTTGAAATAACTGTTTTCTATTTAAATATATTTTAAAATGTCATTTATTCCCGTGATGCAAAGATGTACTTTCTGCATCATTACTCCAGTCTTCAGTACAAGATCCTTCAGAAATCGTTCTAATATACTGATTTGCTGCTCAAAACAGTTGTGCTGATCAGTTAGTGGTTTAACTACTTATTTTTTTGCTAATGAAAATGCTGTATATGGGGTAAATAAACCTTATGACATGACTTACACTATCTATTTTTTTCTTTCAGATCCACATATCAAAGTTAGTGGTAAGAGGGACAATGTGAAGGAAGCCAAGGAGAAGATCATGTCTGTCCTGGACACTAAGGTGAGCATGTCAAGTCATATTGGATAATTCTTATTTGATATGTCATTGTGCATTTGAAAAATGCCTCATTCGTCATCCCTGTCATTCTTGGTTGCTGTAGTAGCTGGATGCGTTTGGTTTTAGGACAGCTGTGACATTTGAAGCAATGGAATTTGAAGATCCTGAGAGGAAATATGTGGAGCCTGACATCAAGAGCTCCTCATATATTTATAAGGAATGAATCATGGCTTAAATCACATTGGGCAAAAGAAAGACAAATGCCATTGCATGGTACCTTTGGGTGACTCCTGGTAGCTGACATCTGTGGTATCTGCTTTATCAAAACATAAGAGATTGTTATAGAAATTGTACAACTGATTTTAGACTATATCCATTCTTCTGGTAATTTGTGCCAGACAGAATGCAGAACATCCACCAACTCCAACTGAAGAGTTTGTTGTAACATCACTATATATTTGTGTGGTAATTTCCTCATATTTTTTATGTGAAATGGGAAATGTTGTGTATTGACATCTGTCTGTAGACTTGATGTAATGAAAAACTGACTTGGCTGTAGCTCATTGATCTAATTCAGTCTGTCACAACTTTAATGAAGCTGCTCAAAGGGGCGGGATCTGTATTCCTTTGTTCACTTTTAAAATATGTTCAGTGTTTCAATACTGAAAGTGCAAGCAACTTCCTCAGCTCAAAAAACACTGCATTGATGCTAAGCACAATTAGCCACCATGAGCAAACATGGCGCATTTTGAATCAGATGCTTCTGGGAAGTCCTGTGCCAGCCAAGCAAGTATCATTGAGTCATTGAGATAAATAAGTTAAAAAAAATGCAATAAAAACAGTAATATTGTGAAATATTTTTACAATTTACAATAACTGTTTGAATATATTTTCAGATGTAATTTATCCCTGTGATGGCAAAACTGAATTTTCAGCAGCCATTACTCTATTATTATCAATGTTAAAATCAATTGTGCTGCTTCATATTTTTGTGACACATTTTTTAAATCAGATACTTCTTGTATATTCTGGTATATATGCGATACTTCTGATATATATGGGAATGCTATTGGACAAATAATGGCATAGAAATTACACCTTTAAACCGAGGTGGCTATGGTACCGCAGTTAATGCAATCCGACTCTTTTGTTTCCTCAGAGCAATCGTGTGACTCTAAAGATGGACGTCTCACATACCGAGCATTCACATGTCATCGGCAAAGGGGGAAACAATATTAAGAAGGTGATGGAGGACACGGGCTGTCACATCCACTTCCCTGACTCCAACCGCAACAACCAGGCTGAGAAGAGCAACCAGGTGGGATTCTGACTTACCCAGCTCATGTAAACATGTCCAAATCTCATTTCACCCCAACAATCAAAAGAGAAAATATAAGAAACTGCTGAAATTTGTGCATAAACAAAAATGACGCCGGTAGAATCTTTATTATTTTAGCATTATTTTTATAATAATTAAGCACAAGTTTTCATTTACATAATGTGTATGTACGTTTTACTTTGTTATTATTTTCAGTAGCTGTAATTCAGTATTTTTTTTTAATAATTGCATAAATATCACTGCAATAATGAGAATGGTGGTATGATTAATTGTCATATAAATAATGATAAATGTCAAAAATTGTGATGTTCTAAAAATAACTTTTTTATTCAAATTAAATAAATCAATCGGTGATATAATATAAATTTTGATAAATTTTGATAAATTTCTGAAATTATTTAACCATGAAGCACTGTATGTAGTTTTCTGCTAGCCCTACTTGAACCCAACATTATTCATGTGAGATATGACTTGCTACATAAATCAATGTATATATGAATGATCATATCTTGATGAAGCTTTATGATGAATATAATAACTTTTTTTCAGAAAATGTAAATTTTGATTGCCTATGCAGAACTGACTTACTACTGTGAGGTATTTTGAGTATTTGTTTTTTTTTGGTACACTACCATTCAAAAGTTTGAAAAAAAGTTGAAAAGAAGTCTAATATGCTCACCAAATACAGTAAAAATAGTAATAATGTGAGATATTATTAGTTTGAAATAACTGTTTTCTATTTAAATATATTTTAAAATGTCATTTATTCCCGTGATGCAAAGATGTACTTTCTGCATCATTACTCCAGTCTTCAGTACAAGATCCTTCAGAAATCGTTCTAATATACTGATTTGCTGCTCAAAACAGTTGTGCTGATCAGTTAGTGGTTTAACTACTTATTTTTTTGCTAATGAAAATGCTGTATATGGGGTAAATAAACCTTATGACATGACTTACACTATCTATTTTTTTCTTTCAGATCCACATATCAAAGTTAGTGGTAAGAGGGACAATGTGAAGGAAGCCAAGGAGAAGATCATGTCTGTCCTGGACACTAAGGTGAGCATGTCAAGTCATATTGGATAATTCTTATTTGATATGTCATTGTGCATTTGAAAAATGCCTCATTCGTCATCCCTGTCATTCTTGGTTGCTGTAGTAGCTGGATGCGTTTGGTTTTAGGACAGCTGTGACATTTGAAGCAATGGAATTTGAAGATCCTGAGAGGAAATATGTGGAGCCTGACATCAAGAGCTCCTCATATATTTATAAGGAATGAATCATGGCTTAAATCACATTGGGCAAAAGAAAGACAAATGCCATTGCATGGTACCTTTGGGTGACTCCTGGTAGCTGACATCTGTGGTATCTGCTTTATCAAAACATAAGAGATTGTTATAGAAATTGTACAACTGATTTTAGACTATATCCATTCTTCTGGTAATTTGTGCCAGACAGAATGCAGAACATCCACCAACTCCAACTGAAGAGTTTGTTGTAACATCACTATATATTTGTGTGGTAATTTCCTCATATTTTTTATGTGAAATGGGAAATGTTGTGTATTGACATCTGTCTGTAGACTTGATGTAATGAAAAACTGACTTGGCTGTAGCTCATTGATCTAATTCAGTCTGTCACAACTTTAATGAAGCTGCTCAAAGGGGCGGGATCTGTATTCCTTTGTTCACTTTTAAAATATGTTCAGTGTTTCAATACTGAAAGTGCAAGCAACTTCCTCAGCTCAAAAAACACTGCATTGATGCTAAGCACAATTAGCCACCATGAGCAAACATGGCGCATTTTGAATCAGATGCTTCTGGGAAGTCCTGTGCCAGCCAAGCAAGTATCATTGAGTCATTGAGATAAATAAGTTAAAAAAAATGCAATAAAAACAGTAATATTGTGAAATATTTTTACAATTTACAATAACTGTTTGAATATATTTTCAGATGTAATTTATCCCTGTGATGGCAAAACTGAATTTTCAGCAGCCATTACTCTATTATTATCAATGTTAAAATCAATTGTGCTGCTTCATATTTTTGTGACACATTTTTTAAATCAGATACTTCTTGTATATTCTGGTATATATGCGATACTTCTGATATATATGGGAATGCTACTGGACAAATAATGGCATAGAAATTACACCTTTAAACCGAGGTGGCTATGGTACCGCAGTTAATGCAATCCGACTCTTTTGTTTCCTCAGAGCAATCGTGTGACTCTAAAGATGGACGTCTCACATACCGAGCATTCACATGTCATCGGCAAAGGGGGAAACAATATTAAGAAGGTGATGGAGGACACGGGCTGTCACATCCACTTCCCTGACTCCAACCGCAACAACCAGGCTGAGAAGAGCAACCAGGTGGGATTCTGACTTACCCAGCTCATGTAAACATGTCCAAATCTCATTTCACCCCAACAATCAAAAGAGAAAATATAAGAAACTGCTGAAATTTGTGCATAAACAAAAATGACGCCGGTAGAATCTTTATTATTTTAGCATTATTTTTATAATAATTAAGCACAAGTTTTCATTTACATAATGTGTATGTACGTTTTACTTTGTTATTATTTTCAGTAGCTGTAATTCAGTATTTTTTTTTAATAATTGCATAAATATCACTGCAATAATGAGAATGGTGGTATGATTAATTGTCATATAAATAATGATAAATGTCAAAAATTGTGATGTTCTAAAAATAACTTTTTTATTCAAATTAAATAAATCAATCGGTGATAAAACAAGTATCTTATGCTGCATTTATTCGATTTAAAAAACACAGTAAAAAACTGTGCTATTGTGTAATATTATTCCAATTTAACACAACTGTTTTCTGTTTTAGATTATTGTAAAATGTAATTGTATTCCTGTGATGCCAAAGCTGAATTTTCAGCATCATTCCTCTAGTCTTCAGTGTCACATGATCCTTCAGAATTCATTCTGATATGCTGATTTGATGCATTAGTAAGAAACATTTCTAATTTTTATAAAAGTTGAAAACAGTGCTGCTTAATATTTTTGTAGATACTGATTTTTTTTTTGTCCAGATTATTCTTTTGTAACATTATAAAAGTCCTTCCTGTCACTTTTGATCAATTGTATGCATCCTTGCTGATTAAAAGTATTAAACTCCTTAAGAAATCTTTTGAATTGAAGAGTATTTGCAAAAATAATAACATAATTTATACTTATAAATTATATGTATATTTAAAATTACATTCTTGTTATTTTGGGATGAAACATGACCTGGACATGCTCTTGACAGGTTTCTTGAGATATCCACCTAAAAGATTATTATGCATATTGTCTGCAGCCTAAGGGAGGATAAAGACTGAGCCATAATTGGATGCGAGACAGGTTTCCAGACTTGATGAAGTGGGGAATGTGGAAATTGAGCAATGGCATGGCACTCCCTCAGTGTGGGCTCATGTGTTGGGTTCAGAGTGGCTGGTACTTGCTGACAGGTGAATGAGTCAGGCTAGAATGAAGAAATCTCACCTCCTAGTGGTGCTCGCATGATAACATTTGGCAGACGAGTATTTTTCATTCTTAAGGGATTAGTTCACCAAAAATGAAAATCATTTACTCACCCCCATGTCGTTCCAAGCGCATTACTTTGTTTTGTTTTTTTCTGTGGAAAACAAATGGAAATCAAATAAAACTTTCAGAGGAGGAGCCTGTATGACTTGTGCAGTATATTCATTCATCATGTCATCATTTAAAGGAACACTCCACTATTTTTGAAAATAGGCTCATTTTCTATCTCCCCTAGAGTTAAACAGTTGAGTTTTACCGTTTTCAAATCCATTCAGCCGATCTTTGCTGCCGTACCATGGGTGCAGCAGGCGCAATGCTATTAAGCAGCGCTTGAAAATAACTTCCAATACGCCTATTTTCAGGCGCTGCGTAATATCATTGCGCCTGCTGCACCCATGGTACGGCAGCAAAGTTCCTCGATTATTACGCCGGAATGAGAGTATAGTTCCTAGCCATATCGGCCTAGAAAATCGCAACTTTTCATTTTCCGTCGGTCTTAGTACACGATGTAACTACAGAAGAGTCAAGTTTTAAATAGGAAAAATATCGAAACTCTTTGGTCATTTTTGAGCGAGATGCTAATGGTCTAATCAGATTCAATGATCTATGCTAAGCTACAGCTAAAAGTGCTATCGCCAGACCCGGAGATCGGCTGAATGGATTCGAAAACGGTAAAACTCAACTGTTCAACTCTAGGGGAGTTGGAAAATGAGCCTATTTTCAAAAATAGTGGAGTGTTCCTTTAATTTTAATTTTTATTGTTTTAAGTCATACCAAATGATGTACTAGACTCCACTTCCTTTACTTCCATGAACATGCATGTGACTTTCTTGTTCCTTTTTCTGCAGGTGTCCATAGCTGGCCAACCAGGAGGAGTGGAGGCCGCCAGAGCCCGAATTCGGGTAAATAAATATTTATAATATGATAAAGGCAGGAAGTAGAAGTGGGAGGCTGCTATTTATCTTGAGGAAGTTGACAGGTACAGGTTTTTTTTTTGGGATGAGATAAACACATTCCTCAGCATCCCATCGGTCATCTTGGCAACACAACAAGCAGCATTCATCTTTCTCCGGATGTTTCTAGTTGAGAAAATGGTGCTTGAATCAGAACTGCTGCCCTCTGTTGGTATTGTGTAAGCATTACAGCCACTTCTATCCATTTCAATGGCATAAACACCTTCCTTTTACAAAGCTGTACAGGCAAAAGCCTTTTAATAGGATAAAACATGAGGAATAAGAAAGTTGTAAGAAGCATTTGACACTCAAGGTCTTGAGTTTTACTTATAAGAACAACTTTAATAATGGTTTGATGTGGAACACATGGTGCCAATTGAAGCTGGTTTGAAACTGCAGTTCTAGTGATATCTTGACTGTTTGGCCGGGTGTCGCCTGTGTACTCCTGCTCCATCCAGACTCTGTCCTCAGATTTCACCAGTGCCAGGGCTCTGCACACGTGCTTCCTCCTCAGAGAGAACCAAGAAAAACAAGCCAAAGCAATCGAGCACAGCGGGCTTCCTTAGTGTTTAGCATAAACACAGCATAAAGACTGAGCCCCAATTAACTCGAGGACATTTCTAAACAAGAAACTATCATAAGCCTTCACTATTGTTTCACGAAGCAATTTGTATAAAATGAGTACCTTTGAAAAACCCAGGCCGCTCCATTTTGCATGTACAAAACATATACATTTCTGTGGGTGAAATGTACATTTGAGGGAAGGATGTTTGTGGGACAGCCTCACTTTTTCTCTTCCTCGTTCAAGTGACCAGAAATGCTGGGAATTCTTCTCGTGACCACCTAATCATCTCCTTTTTCCTCTTTTCTCTCTTCAAAAGACCTTCACCCACATTCGTTTTGGTGCTTTATTGTGCCATTACATCCATGTGAATGGTATAGCGCGAGCATAATTCTCACTCTTAACCTCAAGTCAGGTTTTCAGTCTCTTTTCAGACCAACTTGTTTGTTTGTGGATTGTTGTGGTAAATTTCGAATGCAATGAAATGAACCCTGACAGGTTTCTGTCCTACCATTAAAAGTGAAGGGAACCACAAGTTAAAAGATCCAAAAAGGTTATAAAGAAGGCTTAAAACAAATCCTTTAGAATCAAGCTGTTTAATCCAAGTCTTAGATAAAGTCCAAGTCCAAGATAGGGATAAATTCACGTTATATGATAACTAAATGATGACAGAACTTTTATTTTTGCAAGAACTGTCTCTTTAATGTAATGTTCTACAAAGTTCAATGATAAGTTACAGTGTCCACAATGAAAAAAAAATAAAAAAATATTTTAACATCTTTTGCTTTAATTGTATTTGTGATAGTTTTGATAAATTGTCAATTTTCAAGAAGTGCGTGCGTGTGTGCGTGCGTGCGTGCGTGCGTGCGTGCGTGCATTTAGCAAATAAAAATGTTCCTGTGGCTC